GTTCTGTGAATTTTACACTGTCTTCACTACATTCTTTAAATTTTGAAAATATTATTTCTTGTAAATAGTTTGTAAAAAAATTTTTAAATAGAAATATTGCTGCATAGAATTTTAACTTTGTAAATTATATTATAAAAATGTTCTATGGGAAAAAACAATAAATGCGAAAATAATGATTTACGTAGTTTCAATAGATGAAAAAAATCATTTTGTACGCATGACATTTTTGCATATCACAAGACTTAAAGATCACCTGACTCTTTTGAAAATGTACCTAACAATATCGATATCGTACATATCAATATGTTATGATTTTCTGTGACTGTGAACTTGTTTTTGTTTTCTATGCGCAAAACGAGAAAAAAAAGGCAAAGTGGTGCTTTGTGTATATCAATACTCAAAGTCGAATAGTAAAAAAGCATTATTTAGTATTTGTGCTCGTCGTTAATTAGTAACAATCGGTATTCATTGACGCCGCCTATACATTAAGCTTTGTACTAAATAAAATATCAATAACGATAATGATAACGATAAGAATTGTTTCATTGTCAATCCGAAAAAAAGATACAACAATGATTTAAAATTAGAACAATTATGTATAGCGATAGAAAGATATTACAGTATTTTATAAATGAGACGATCGTTTCAATCTTGTATTTCCACCTATCATTACCATAAATGCTAACAAAATCGTGTGTTTGTTGCTTAGCATTCATAGCCTCTGGGTTTTATCGTTATTAACGTGAATAACTATCGTTAGTTAATGTTGTTTCTATAAGATCATTCACACAATTTGTGGCTTTGGTCATTTCCGTATTCCGAAATTGTAATTACCATTCACAAATAAAAATAGTTGCATTATATCGATCGGTGGAGTGTCGCGTTTACACACGCAACATATTTTTTGTTTATTTTAAATACGAGATTGATGTTTTTTTGTCGTCTAGACAAAAATGTGTAGAATAATTGATATATATCATACATGTAAAATTAAACTAAACCAAACTATTAATGCTATATTAATGGTTAAAAAACGAATGAAATAAAACGAGAATGAATTTTAAGTGAAAAATTTACAAGTTTAAGACGAGTTTTTCGGTATCGGAATTATTGATTAGGATATCTATTGAAAAAATATTATCATAAAAAAGAAATATATATGTAATAATAAATGCAATGTACGTGAGAATTCACGAATTTCTAAGTAAAAAAAAAAACTATAAACAGCGAGATAAATTGTCCAAGCACAAGTAAAATGAGTCATCTTTTTGTTTCAAACAACGGCGAGTATCCGAGACCGTCAATAAAGGATAGCTCCAATTCGACTACCACATGACTCAACTTGGGAATGAAACTACAATGGTTCTATGCTAAACCATTCAATAAAGCAGCAGCACTAGCCAACACAACTCCGAAAACTCCCATCGAGTTATTATTATCTCCTATCGGCTGAAATTGTTCTGTTGTTGATAGAACATTGTCGTATTGCAAGTAATTTGCTGTTGTTGTTGTTGCAGGAAGTGATGGTCCAACAGCGATACTTGCTCTCATGAACACTGAAATTACTGCCAGGTATAATAAAGCTTTTACACTTTGTTGAGGTCCTTGTAGTTCATATTGTTGCTGTTGAATTTGTACTTGTGATTGTGCTGTTGTTGTCATTTTTGCTGTTTTGTTTGCGAGAAATTGAAGAAACTTTTCTTTGTTAGTTCTGTTGTTCTTTCGGTTTCTGTGCGAGTTTTATATTATTCACTATTCAATTATTTTTATCCTTTACTATAAAAACACTTTTTCCTCTTATAAATAAAGAATATCAATGAACTATTTTACACGGATAGATGGTGAGAAAGAAAAAAAAGGTTTTACTCTTTTTTCGTCATTCCGTACGAAAAGGTGGTATATATATCAGAAACACAATGATAAATACCGATACTGTATCGGTACGTATTATGTACATATATAACGATAATTATTATTGTTGTTACATATCATTATGGACGCAAAATATAAAGGGAGGCGCAAATAGTTTGTGTGTTACGTACTACGGAGTAACATTGATTTATACGTATAGTATCATGTTGGAGTGCGCAATTTTCCTTGTGGAAATGCAGTAGCACGCATAAATGCGTGAATTTTATATAACGATAGCAGAATATTAACCGTAGGATTTGTCGTTATTACGTATTGTCTTGGTTAAAGTCAATGCTAATTTTACAAGAAATACTCAATTAAGAGAGATTTACTTTACGAAATACATGTACGTATACCGGTAACATACGCAGTTGTGTTTCGAAATTACAAAGTAAGAGAAGAAGGTTCTAGCAAATAGTATTACTCAACAGCCGTTTTGTTTCACATTTGTTTAATGGCGCAGAATTTTGTAGCGCCCTAATCTCGTGGTTTATTCATAACGATAGCAGACGAGGTGATTTCGATAAACATGACGATTAACGTTATAGTTATCGTTATATCGACATCGATATATGCGTTATAATATAAAAAGTAATTCTAAAACGATTGCACAGGATTTTTCTTAAAAATAAATTTTCGACATATTTTTTTCCTGGTGAGCAATTTTTATTCCGTTGATTTACCGTTTAGCACTGTATATAATATCTTATTCAAAATTGTAGTTTTGTGTATGAAACCGGTTATTATATTTGGAGTAATATATATTATATTAGGGGGTATATTGTATAGCGATAGAGAATTTTATATATAATCATAGGGGGATAGTATTATTTGGGGAAACTATATCGATATACAATGGTAAATGGATTAACAAATTCTGTCATGTGTTAAATAAAACGGAGTTAGAGTTAGTCAATTTTTAATTATGTTTCGATCCTTTTACAAATGAGCACGGACCACGTATAAACTTCTTTTTCCCGTGATCTAAATGAGAAAAATGAGCATTATAATATAAAAATTTTGTAAAGATGTGACATTTATTCAATTTAAAATAACCTATAAATTAATGTCTTTATTTTTGTAAAGAGTGCTTAAATTATAAAATTGCAATATTATTGGTAATTTTTCGTAATAATAGTACTACATGTAATTCATAACAATCGAAATACATAACTACGTATAGACTAAAAATATGTCAATACTTTTTCGGAATACTTTTAACAGGTACGTAATAGAAGTGGGCAAAAATATAATATTATGGATAGATACGTCCCCCCCGGAAAGTAATGGCCGGCGGTTTTTTATTATAATTTTTTTTACATAACAATTTAATTTAAAATTTTATTTTTATAATATATACAAGACTTTATATCTTAGAAATATTAATATTTAATATACTTTTTTTTAATATTAATGTAATAATTTATTTATTAAAAATTTCCAAAGAAGACAAATTTTTTTAAATATTTTAAGAACTAATTAATATTTTATGCTGATTTTTTAGAATTAACTATAGATCGGAGAAACAATTTTTTTTATGGGCAAAAACTGATTTAATAATGTAGTTTTCGAATTATTTAGTGGCAACCCCTAACCGAACTGTTTGTAAAAAACCTTTAATATCTCAAAAACTTTATTAAGAAACTGGTTTTTGAGTATTATAAAAACATAAAAATTTCAGAAAGTAAACATTTTCTGTGATTTTTAATGTTAATATAAACGTCAATCGGCCATTACTTTCCGGGGGACTGTAGAAAGCATATGAATAAATAAAAAACTTACGAACAGATAGAGAACAATAGGAAAGCGTGTTTATATGAAAATTATATTAGTAAAAAGCACTTAAATAATCCACTATAAAATATGTTGCCGGAAAGCAGATTT